CTAGTGATTTTCTTTTTGTAGCTTTTAGCTCCTTTTAGCTAGTGTTGATTTTTTTCAGCTTTAACAGCTAAGTTTAGCTCGCTCAGGAAATTTCGGCTCTCGTTTCTCCACTTTAGGTTTAGCGGATGAAGCAGGGGTTCGAGCAGAAAGCTGACAGGTGAAAAGCTCTGCGCTCAGAAACAGACAGGAAGCAGAAAGTGCAGAACATCTCCAAGCTAAAACTCAGAGCATGCGTCTGCCGGAGGCCGCAGAACAGGAAGCGGCACCAACCTCTGCTCAGAGTCAGCCTGACATCACCCAACAATCTCGTCTCTTCATTTCTGAAGCAAGTTTGAGGATTTATTGGTTCCTGAAGCAGAGAAAAGACAGAAAACGTCACCGCGGATAAGAAATGAACCCATTAGTCAAATCTGTGGGTAAAGCGTTATCAGAAAATATATAAAAAAAGCGAAAATACCTTCACAAATCCCTCTTCCAGTTTGGTTTCCTCCTATCATCTCACTCAGTTTATAGCTTCTACCTCACTTTACGACTTCAAGAAGAGAACAAAACTCTTTCTGACTTTTTAAACGCCGAATGTTTATAAAAGTGGGATTAAAAACTTGCCTGGGTGGGGATTTTTAAGGGTTTCCCGGTGACGAGAAGTCAGAGTTACATGCACCGTTTGGTTCCAGCTCCGAGCGCCTTCGCCGAAACAAACCGGCTGAAACGCTCACAGCTCTGATATGGGAAGTCTGACTCTAACCACAGGACTTCCCATTCACTCGGCTCTTGGCACGTCAGTCTGCTGACGGTGACGACGGCCCCCGACTCGGTGAATAACAACTTAAAAATAAAGCAGACAAACTTAACCACTTGTTGACACCAAAGCAAAGAAAACATCTATTTATATATGTCATTTGCCGACTGAGTCAGACTTCAGCCTGGACAAAAATAACTATAGCTCTGCGAGCTTTATAGGTATGGAGCTAAAACTTGGCTGTGGTAGCTGAGAGTAGTTTGTAACACGCTCTCCGAGTGCCAACGGATCTCAAACTTTGGCACGGAATGTTCGGTCAGGTCATCTGGACGACGTTTCGTCCTTCATCCGAAGGACTTCTTCAATCCGAGGAGCCACCAACAAACAAGACTGAGTCTAATCTCTAATGGAATCCCAGAAGGCAGAAAGGAGGATGAGGCTTTGGCCTCCATGACTGTTAGAGACAAACATCCAGAGAAGTCAAAGATTCGTACCAGATCCGAGACGGGGTGGAGGCAGGGCAGCGGACTCGGGACCGGAAAGTCCAATCCCCAGTCATTACACATCTTGTGGTATCTCTGAGCAGCACACCCCATGCCCAATTGCCTCCCGGGTACCCTTGATAGCTGCCCACTGTACCACCTGTGCCCACTGTACCACCTGGGGGTGGATGTGTTAAAATGCAGAGAGCCAATTTCACCATTGTACAAGAACACACTGTTATTATTATTAAAAGCTCATTTGGTGACATGGCTGGCGTTGAAATTAATTATCAATATTTTCTTGCTTCCCCTTTAAGTGATTAAGTCATTGATTGAGGATTCCGGAAAAAAGTCACCATGACCCCGCTGCAACATTTAAACATCTAATCACTGAAATTATACTGACTGGGTTTATTAAGATATCAACATTTACATGAACTGACAACACAAAAAGTTTCATAGCGTCATCAGAGAAGCTATATGGTATAATTATCAATTATTAATAAAATTATCAATATTGACCAATGTTTAGCTCAATAATTATTGACATAAATGTATGATCCAGTGAGTGAGGTCACACGTACTTCATATGAGCTGATAGGCACAGACGCAGGACATAACAGTTTTTGTATTTAATTGTATGGGTTTATTTTTAACATAGTAGGAAGCCCCGCACGTGGCAGGGCATCAAAAAATTAGTTGAAACTCATGTTGATCCTCTCCACGGAAATCTTTAGTAAAAGGCGAAAGATTTATACGATCTGAAGAGAATCATGAGTGCTGACTTGTCGAAGGATCGTAAGACGATGTGATTCTCCAACATGTCCCGTACGATGACGGTGACAGAAAAAAAAAAAGCTAATTTCATACATAAACATGGTTAAATATTTTATATATGCTATTATACGTTTTTTTTGTTTAAATCGTTTTAAACTAAAATATTTTTAAAAATCTAATTTAAAAAATACTAACGCGCAATGCACGATGGGTAACATTGCGCTTCGTTCTGGTAACAGCGCTCACAAATGTTTTGCTAGCTTTTTTCTTTTTTTTTTTAACTAGGTAAACGTAACATAGCCGTTTGTCATATATTGACAAGGCAAACAAAAACATACAAGAACGAGAAAGTATGAAAAGGTTTAAATTGTTTCTTGGCGCATGCGCTCTAGAACGTTTGCTTGGCAACGAGATTACCGCTTCCTCGAGGCAACACATTCTCCGAGTACCCAGTTAATGCGACGAACAAAACGGCTTTAACGTCATCATACTTTCAAACTTTGACATGAAAGGTGGTTAGATATGAATTCATTTAGGAATGCCGAGACTTATGGATGGATAATTTAATTGTAAATATTGCTTTTTAGTTTTTAGATATTTTTGTTAAGCGGCTGTCTTAATTGTGGAGGATGGTTGCGCCCTCTGGTGAGCATTTTTTGTAAATTACATCGTTTTAATTTATAATATATTCCCAAAATAATCGAAAAAAAAAAGACCCCATACACTAAAATATATATATATTTTTTATTCAATCTGTACAAGTGTTTTTAAACTAAACCGGCAACATCAAACAGTGCCCATTTACGTTTAAAATGGAAGACATTTTTTTTTTGTTCCTACCTGCCTGCACAAGGACTCTAATGCGCATGCTCGAAGCCATATGTCTGTGGACATGACATTTACAGTAACTGTGGTGGATGGTTGCGCCCTCTGGTGCACATTTGTGTCAATTACATTTAATTTATAATATATTCTCCTACTTTTTTAAAAATTCAGTCTTTGCAAGTGTTTTTTAAACTAATCTGGCAACATCAACTTGTGCCAATTTACAGTTTAGCCATTTTTCTTGTTCCTGCTACTTCCGGGTACCTGCCCGCACAAGGTTGCAATGCTCTGTAATGCGCATGCTCGATGCCGTATCCCTGTGGACCATTCCACTGACCGTTCTTTCGTAATATAATGCAGCTACGTACAGCGTACGTGCCAAGTTATATTCGGAAGACCGCTAAGAACGTTGTCACGTAAATTATCAATCCCTACGTAATATCTTCTTCAGTTTTCTTTGAACATGTTGCAAGCCCCGCACTGGGCAGGGCATCAAAAAATTAGTTGAAACTCATGTTGTTCCTCTCCACGGAAATCTTTAGTAAAAGGCGAAAGATTTATACGATCTGAAGAGAAACATGAGTGCTGACCTGACAACCTGGATGTCAGAGCACCTCATTCCTCGACATATACTATACACATGCGGTGACAGAATAAAAAAAACCACAAACTACTTTTTTTATACAAACATGATTAATTATATAGCTATAGCTATTAATCTAGTGCAAAATGTTTGGAGTGAATTGTTTAAAAACTAACAATACTTTAAAAACGCGCAATGCACGATGGGTAACGCTTCGCTTTGTTCTGGTAAAAAAATAGCGCGCATAAATGGCTTTTTAATTAAGTAAACTAAATATTACCGCTTCGTCATATTTTGACAGTGCAACTAATATATACAAATAAGAAAAACTATAGCCAAGAAAGGATAAAATTATTTGGTATTAAAAGTTGGCGCATGCGCTCTAGTACGTTATGTTACTGCACCCTCGTGGTTTCTCGTCCACAACGCGGTTTCATCCAAAATCACAAAAATGTTTTCCGAGTTTATCACTTGTACAAAAATGTGCTTTTTAGCTCTATAGTTGAGATTAAGTTCAACATAAATATTAAATTTGTGGTTTCGTCTCACATTCTATTAAAAAAGTTATCCAAACAAACTATAACCATAAATAACGAAGTTGTATTTTCTATTGTAGAAAAAACTCAATGACTGCTGAAGAAGTGGAAACTCAGCTGGTAATGTGTTCAAATAAGAAATATCTCTGAAGCAAAATTATTCAAAAGCCAACAGTAGCAAAACACAAGCCAAAAAAGTAGTAAAATAATAGCTTAAAGCAAAAAAAAAAAAGGCTAGCTAAAACGACAGAAATTCTAGCTGAAAGAAGCACACAAGCTAAAATAAGAAAAAAAAGAGCAAAAAGTAGAAAATTAACAAGTAGGTGAGCAAAAACTAGAGAAACGTTAGCTGAAAAGTGCAAATCACTAGCTAAAAGTAGTAAATAGCTAAAAGCTAAAAAAAATGGCTAAAAGTACAGAAACAGCTGAAAGGTGCAAAACACTAGCTCAAAGTAGTATATAGCTAAAAGCTAAACGTGGAGAAGCATTAACTGAAAGGTGCAAAACACAAGCTAAAAGTAGCAAAGAGCTAAAAAAAAAAGACAAGCTAAAATTAGAGAAACATTAGCTGAAAGGAGCAAATACTAGCTAAAAGTAGTAAACAAACAGCTAAAAGCAGAACAGTCTACGTAAAAGTACCAAAATCCTAGTTGGTAGTAGCAAAACACCAGCTAAAGGTAGCAAATGTCAAACTAAAAGTAAAATGCTAGCTAAAATAATAAAAATACTCAATAAAAAGCAAAACACTATCTTAAAGGTGTTTCCAAAAGAAGCAAAAGTGAGCTAAAATTAGTAAAACTCAAGTCAAAACCTAAATATAGGAAAAAGTATAGCAAAAACATAACAGTACAAAAGTTAGCTAAAATAAGGAAAAGGTTAGCTAAATGCTAAAACTATCAAAAGGCTAGCTAGAAGCAAATTGTGGCTAAATCCTAAACAGCAGCTGCTAGCCAAATGCAGCTGAATTCTAGCTAAAAGAAGCACAAAAATACAGCTGGTATTCTGAAGCAGATTTTAAAAATCCTGTTTTTGAATTAAAGATCAGCAATTCTCTAAAGTTAACTTAATTTTTTTACTGAAACTAATCACCTGTCTCCCAAGTGAGCCGAACATTTTGATAGAAAACAGCTAAAACAGCTGTGAGCGTAGTTAAACTTCATAAAACAAATACATCAGCATTCACACAAGAAAACATTGTTACTTTCATCATTTCTTTTACTGGTTTCCACAACTGCAACATTTAAACGCAACAAGATCAAAGTATTACAAATACAACTGAGCAAAATGACAAAATACAGCTCAAAGATATAATATTGTGAAAGAGTTCAGTTCCCATCAAGTGAAACTCAGATTCATTACACAGAGTGAAACATTTCGAGCCTTTACTTCTTGTAATTTTGGTGACCGTGTCTTACAAATAACAAAAAAACAAAATTCAGTCCTCAGTAGCAAACCTGCAGGACAGTTTGTGCAACATTTGTTAGTCAAATAATCCACCCTGAAGTGCAGGTTCCATGCAGAATCAGTGGCACTAACATCACTTCAGCCTCTTGTTTCATCAATAGTATCAGACATTAAAAAAGTATATAACTGTTGTGAAACTTCAGTTTTTCAGAGAGTAAACAAAGACTCGTAAAGCAGAAACACGGATAATGCGTCACAGCTTTAAAAGCAGCACCCCTCCTTTCTGTCCACACAACAAAGTGCAGTTATCTTGGTCCACAACCACCAAAAGGACTGATTGGTGTCATGTTAGCATTTGGTCATTGATTTCAATATAAATATAATCTGAGTTTTACTATAAAAAATAAGGCATAATTCAGATTTCAAGACATTTCTCTTCAGGTGGGGCTGCGTTGATCTCTACACCAAACCAAGACCAGTTTGTGCAACGAGGCTGCAGAGCAAAGACAGCCGCTTCCTGCCTCGTTTGAAGACATTTAAACCGTGACCCGAAAGTGTCTTTGTGCGGCTTTCTTCCGGTTCAGATGGCTTTGACGTCGATGAGGTGGCCATGCTGGGCCCCCTGCCGTTGGGTCTTGATTCCCTGCAGCTTTCGGCCGTGAAGCGTGAAGCGGGACCAGGCGGCCAGCTGGAGCAGGGCGCAGGTGATCGGCACGAAAACCAACATGTAGAAACAGCCCAGGCGGAGAGGAGGAGTCCCTGAGCTGGAGGCCGTGTCAGACACCAGAACCGAGTCCTTCGTGGGCTCCCTCTGAAAAATATCATAACCTTGGGAAGGAAGGAACAGATTCCACAAATTATTGATTATCAATATCTCTGTACATCTCTCAAATCTGTTTATTGTGACACAGTTCTTCTACTAAAGTTGCCTAAATGCATCACACCTGGCGCTAAAATCAGATTGTACAAGATCTACCGTATTTTTCGACCTATAAGCCGCAGTTTTTTTGCATAATTTACAGCCCCGTGACTTATACACCGAAGCAACTTATTTATGTTTTCTCCCCATATTTATAAACCAATTTGTGGCTGAGATATGACCATTTTCATTCATTCTGACATGGAAAATATTGAACACTACTATTTTCAGCCGCTAGATGGCACTCGCATAATATGGCATGCTGCTCTGTCATGTAATAGGTAAAAGTGGCTATTAATGACACAACTGGCTTGCCATAGACCATCCAGCTCCAGGATCATGGCTGGAGAAACCATCAAATCAGCTTAATTTCGCAGCGGTGCCCTGGCAAAATGAAGCGAATTAGACCATTAAAGTGCATTTATTATGTAAAATTTCAACTGAGACACACCTTTACTATAATGTTGAGCAAACAAATGATATATTTTTAGTTGTTCATCTTGTTAAATTTTGAAGCGTTCCTCCTTCCCGATTTCCTCCCACTGCGCGCTCCCGGCGCACCGAGGCAGCAAATACTTTTGAAATGCAGCTGATTAGACCGTTAAAGTGCATTTATTAAGTAAAAGTTAAACTGAGACGCACCTTTGCTATAATTTCAAGCAAACAAATAATTGTTTTTAAGTGTTAACCTTGTTAAATTCTTGTTAAAGTCCTCCCGTGCACGCTTCCGCGGCCACCATTTGGCAGCCAATCGATTTTTGGCACAACACCGGCCCACATTTCCGGGTTGTCAGCGGTGACGCAGAATAGATATATACGGCGAAGCAACGTATTTATGTTTTTTCCACTTTACTAGACAATTGGACTGATGCGACGTGTACGGCGGAAAATACGGTAGATATAAACTTCTCAAGTCGCACTGAAAATGTTTTCTATCAAATCCCCTTTGACTCGGTTTGTTTTGGGGGTTTTGGTCTAAAAGTTTGAACAAGTTGTTAATCCTTCTTATTATAAATGTCAGTTTTGTTAGGATGTTATTTAAATGGACTGCAGGACGCTGCATGGAGAGTTTCTCTTTAGTTTGTTTCTTCTGATTGTTTTTAGAGCCTCTGTGAACACGGCTAAAGGCAGAGTTTCACAGCGATGGTGGATTTATTCGGACTCAAACCTAAAAAAAACCCTAAAATTCACCTCATCATACTTTGTCACAAAAACACACAACAACCTGGCAAAGACAAATGAGAGTCGGTGTCTGTACCGGTGTAAACGCAGAGCAGCCAGGTGCCGATGAGAGGAGCGAAAGTCTGACCCGGTTTGGTCAACAAGGCAACCATCCCAAAGAGGAGCGCGGAGGCAGCCTGCTGACGTCGGTTCACCACAAAGTCCTCGTCGACCAGGTCAGAAACCACCAGTTTCAGCAGCTTACAGGTGCCCTCTGTGAACACCCGGTTACTGGAACCAAGAGGGGACACGTTAGAAATCACGACAGAGAAAAACACAATGGGAAGAGTCGGGTTTTGTCCACAATTTGTCCTGTTTGTGGAGTGAATCTACAAGCAGAGGTTATCCTATTTCCTGCATCCGGAAAATGATCAAAACCAAAAAAAAAAACAAGCAAGCAGCAGAAACTACTGTACCTAGCGATGAAGATGCACAGCAGATAAATGTGGTCGGCCCCTGCAAGCAGCATGACCACACTAAGTCCCAGCTTGAGCATGAACAGCCAGCGGATGACCTGGTAAACCCCATAGTTTTGGCACAGTGTCAGGAAATACAGGTTGTTCAGGTGAGGGGCAACGTAAGAAATCCCTGTGGGAGCAGAAGCAGAAACACTAAAACGTAAAAATTAAATGGAACATTTTAAATTAAGTACATTGGAATGTCAGATACAGTGCATTTAAGTGCAAAAATGTATTTTATTTTTTGCTTTTACCAAAATTATATCTTCTGAGATCGCTAAATTAAACCTTACTGATGATTCACAGTTGTTTCCTGTGCAGAGGCAGTCAGTTTGCGCAGTTATATTCAAAATAAACCACGTTAAAATACTTAATGCAACAATAAGAGTGAAATCTTTGGGAACTTTATGATACAATTTGATTTTGTTAACTATCTTATTGTCTTAATCTACTTTTACAGTGAAGTTTTTTAATGGACACGTCTTCAGAAATGATCTTTTAAAAGCTAATCCTTTTGTTTTCCTCTGAAACTGACTTTTTTTCTGTGCTGGGAAATCCCTTTATATAATGTTTGGCATCATTGTGAAGCTTATGGATTCCCCTTTTTAAATATATGCCTAAAATTCCTTATGATATAATTCTAAACCAATAACAAATTAAGTTTTCAAACCGGTACTCTTGTAAATTAAACTAGCTTGTTGATAACCAGGTGACAAGTTTCTACGTATCACTTTGAAGCGTTTTAGAAGAAAAATGTTATAATAATAAGTCAATATAGTAAAATCCATCAACGTGAGTCATTTTGCCAGCAAGTGAACCTGCTAATTTTCCTTGTGGTGGACCTGCGACCCGTCCAGGCCTCGTGCACAGCGACTGCTGGATATGGGCACCAGTGACCCGAAAAGAAGCGGGTAAAGATAATGGATTAATTTTGCCAGTACAGTTCACATAAATGTTAAATTCTAATAGAGTGCGTAAAAAGATGTTAAAAAAAATTCCAGCTATTAGCATAGATGCTAACTTAACATTGAAAATGCCTTAGAAAAGCTAACGTGATTAGCATCGTGTTTTTCATTAAATATTTATACACAAATTAAACATTACATTACTAAAGATGACATGTTATCATAATGTCAGCTGTTAGGGACGTATATTCTTCAGAGTTCACTAGAAAAAAAAAAAGAAAATACAACTTTACTGCTTCTCTTACTAGAGGAAGTTATGGTAGCTCTACTGGGACAAACAACACAGCGCAGCAGCTACTCCGACGACCCCACTAGCAGCTCACATTAATACAAAACTGATTCTGAACACTTGGTTTGAAATAGAAAAAAATTAAAAGATATTTTACCGCCCACCTCTAGTAACTAGTTTAGTTTTTGTTATCCCAACTAGTGATGCACCGATCCACATTTTTTAACTTCTGATCCGATCCCTAAATCTGGATATCGACCCGATATATTGATTTAATATGAGGCTGTAATAAGCTCCTCTCTATAGGCAACTACATTTTGTACAACTATATGCATGTCCAAAAAGGCAACATGAGGTAAGTTTTATTAATGTTGGATAAGTTTCAAAGTTAGAATTAAATCCTGCTAACACAAAACATGTTTTTTTTTTAGTTTTTTTTTTATTCCTAGCTTTAAAGTGGATATTAAAGTGATTAAATGGCTTCAAACATCTGCTAAGTTCATGGCATAAGCCAACACAGACATGTTCCTGTTTATAGTATTTTACATGGCTTTATAATGTAACTGTTTATGTTTCGTTTTGATATATATAAAATGTTCTTGTATTTTTCAATTCATATGCTTTTTATGATTGTCTACTGTTGTACTGATAAATATCTCCTGGAGGGTGAACTATATCTTGGCTGCAAGTATCAAGCTGAGAAATCCTTCGTTTTCTACAGCTGATAGCGGTTGGTCATTAATGACGATGAAGTTTAGCAACTTCTCGGTAAACATTCAGCCCCGGAGCTTGAATGTCCATCGTAAAACTAACTTTACCGCGGTTTAATGTGGCGCTGTGGCTCTGCAGACATTACACGTTGCTGTCTTGCTCTGTGGTGTTTCTAGTGTAAAATACTTCCACACAGCCGACATGTTTCGATGAAAAATTAGCTGTTAGCCACAGTGCTACTGCACGTTGTAGCTGCCTGCAAACTATGAACTGGATTTCCTGAATGTGGGGCAGGTCTTATTACTCTGGGCTCATGAGACACGCCTCCGTTCAGGAAATCCATTCCATAGTTTGAAGCCAACGTGCAGAGCAAGATGTTTTACTTGGAGACACAGAGACATGCATCATGGACTGGAAATCTCTGCAGGTTGGATCGGAAAAATCCGATACGTAAATTATGCTGGTATCGGAGGCCGATACAGATACTGGATTGGATCGGCCCCATCCCTAATCCCAACACAATCAGAGCTTATTTTGCCATGATTTAAAGTATCTCTCAAAAACTTGAGTTTAATTTTAAACCAACACGCATATTTGTTTTTTACATGAATGCTTGAAGTAGTAATTCAAGCTCCACACATATACAATTAAATTCCCTTTCTCAGCTCCTGTAACACAGATTAAGATGACGTGCCGAGTTATCGGACTCTTACCCAGTAAAACTGAACCCGCAGAGGCAGAGATTTTATCAGACAAGAGATGTTCGAGGAACAGAGGAAAGAAGTTGCTGTTGAAGTGGCAGTGAAACACCTGCAATGGAAACAGACAGAACAATAACTCCTAAAAGATTACATCAAATAAAAACACAAGGAATGTACAGTTTACTACTGGTAATATAATTTACTGAATTATTTGCAGCATATATGGATAAATGATGTATACTAATGTGTTTTCAAATTAAAAGCCCAAACATGAAAGTTTTTTTTGTTTCTATTCTAAGAAATTACTATAATAACTAGAGAAAATGCATTTCCTGCAAAAATGCAGTGAATGCTCATTGCAGAAGAACGTGCAGAAAAACAATTGAAATTAGCTAAAAACATGCTGAAACGTAGCTGAAAATGTAGAACAAGCGTAAATCAGCAGAAGAAAGCAGAAAGAGCACAAACGTTTAAATGAGTGCAAAATGTGGAATTAGATGAAAAAGCTAATATTAGCATAAAAACTGCTAAATAGTAGCTGAAATTACTGAAAATAGCAGAAGTAAGCTGAAAGGAGCATAACAAGCTGAAATTAGCAGAAATAATTTAGCAGCAAAAATTACCATGAAAAACTTGAATTTATCTGAAAACAGCTAAAATATGCTAAAAAGCTAGCTGAAAAGGTAGAATGAGCTTAAATAAGCAGAAGAAAAAACATGTTTGCCCAATTAGGCTGAAAAAAGCAGAAATTAATACAAAAAAGTGGAAATTATCTGAAAAAAAAAAACTGAAATTAGCATAAAAGTATTTAAAAATAGCTAAAAAAAAAAAAAAAAAAAAACAGAAAGACGCTTAAATTACAAGGAAATGAGAGCACATTTTTCCTGAATTAGGCTGAAATAAGTTGAAAATGCCAAAATTAGTATAAAAACAGCTACATAGTAGCTGAAATAGCAGAAAAAGCTGAAAATTGCAGAAATAAGCTGAAAGGAGCATAACAAGCTGAAAGGAGCATGAAGTTTGAAGAAGTGCTAAAATGTTGTAGTTAGCAGAATGGATCTGAAAGGCTCACAAAACAGCCGAAAAACAGCAGAAATTAGCTGAAAAAAAAAAGTTACATTTGCACAAGGAAGCTGAATTGGAACAAAAAGTGAAAGGAGCAGTAAAAGGTTGTAAACAGATCTAAAGATTTGAAGGATGTAAAATAAGATCAATTCATTTTCTATGAGAAACAAAATACAACTTTATTTACAAAGCACTTTAAAAACAACACCGATGGCCAAAGTGCTGCTTCGTAAGCATTCACAAAATGATTCATAGTATTTTTATTTTTATTCTTACCTGAATTAGGTTCATTGACACGAACCACATGAAGTTCTTGTGTTTGGACAGCTGCTTCAGGTATTGTCCAATCGTGACGGGTTTCTCTGGCTGGGTAAACGGAGCATGGCCAACGCTCAGCCTGCGACAGGACAAACACGACGAGACCAGTGAGAAAGTAAACAACCTCTCAGGCACACCTTTCAATTTGATTTTTAAAACATCTTACTCTTTTAGAGCGGACGCCTCGTCTTGTTTTGGTCGGACTTCCTTGTTGAAGCGACGCAGCAGCAGCCGAGACACGAAGAAAAAACCCAGGATGGAAAACGCCGCCAGAGTCAGGCAGAAGAGACGGAACGAGTAGAAGTTTTCCTTGTCCCAGACGGCGTAGGAGAGGAAAACGGAGAGGGATCCCAGAGCGCTGAACACCGAGCAGTGGAAGTTGAGGCGCGTGCGGTCGGCGGCGGACACGGCGAGGTCGGCCAGCAGGGCGCTGTGGTGGAGGTCCACCATGGTGAGGAAGCCGTCGTACAGACACAGGCAGAGCAGGAACTGCAGGCCCGGACGGGCCCACGCCACCCAGAAGGCCAGGAAGGACAGAGCGAAGAGAGGGCCATTTGTGGAGAGGGCCTTCAGGCGCTTCAGCACCACCTCTGGAGACGTGATCTGAGAACCTGACCTGCTCGAGAAGCAAAGCAAGCGTCAGAAATCTGCAGGAAACAAAGACGATTCAGTCGGATCTTTAGAAATTGTTAAAATAAAAATATTAAAACATTCATATTCGCAAAATATAATTAAAAACAAAAGTGCAAACCCTTGTTGAAACGGTAGATGTGACACACTTCTATACAAACTCAAGAAATAGACGCACCCTAAAACTAGACAAAGAGGCGTCCGTTTGATTACAGAAACTCAAACAGAGGCGACACTCCCGTTTGACCACGACCTCGTAAACTGGTTTTGATGTGTTTGCTGCAGCTGTCGGAGAGTTCACTGCGAGATATCTGCCGGATCTAAATCTTTTGTTGACAAACAAAAAAAGTCGGGAGGGATGGAGAAAGCAAGAACGAAGAGGACCAAATTTTTCAGACACTCGTTTCCTACCAGTTTAAAACAAAAGTAAAAAAATTAAAATTGCTTCTTTAGCTCCCATTAAAACACATTTAGAGGAAATAAATCAAAACGTATGCCGTCAGTTTTGTGGGAAAGCAGACGGAGCCTTTTTAACAAAGTAAAAGCCACTTTCTTAATGTATTTAACAATTAAAATAATTTTTATTTTAACCATTTTTTATCAAAATAACCTAATACTGATCATAAAGCTTATTTGTGTATACCCGATGAACTGCTTACACGTGGCTGTAATCTTCATTTTTAAAATTTATGATGTTTAAATCTCTGAGTTTTATTAAATAATTCATTATTTTTGGTCATTTTATTGCTGTGGGACCTTTTAAAGTTTACACTGCATCGAACGTAGGAACTCATTTGAGTCTACAAATTATATTTATACATTTTACCCCCCCGAGTTTAAATCCTGACCAGATGAAAGCAGCTTGTAAATACATTTTAATGTACATTTAATCTTAAACACGAATGCAACTTGAAAGAAGAAATAAATATGTCCATGTTTTTGTGTTTTGATGTAAGTTTGCAACTAAATACAACTTGTATTTTTTTTGTTTTGGCTAAAGAACTGCAATGATTCAGTTGTAATATTTAAAGTTTATTTGTTTAACGTACTGAGGAGAGCTGAGGAAGGAGCGATCACTTAGCCATCCGAAGAGAGGATCGTTCAGACTGTTCCAGATGAGGAAAATAGTCTGGGAAGCAGCAGAACAAGTAAATAACACAACATTAGTAAAGAGAACAAGTTATTAATCACCTCGTATAAACTGCGCATGAATAAAAACATGTTTAAAGGCGATTACTGAATTATTTAGCAGCTAATTCAGTTTTGTTTAAAAGTTTCCAAGAGTTGAGCAGTCGGACACCTAAACATTTAGCAGACACTGCGACAGAGTCTGGTTCCTCCTCTCACCTCTCCCACCCAGAAGGAGACTTTATCGATCTTGTAGATGGACACAAACGTCTCCACGTAGTACAGCAGGAACACGTTGTGGAGGATGGACGTAAACAGGGCCAACGAGCCGTAGAGCACCGCGGTGGAGAGCACACTTTGCCAGCAGCTCCAGACGCTCCGGCCCATTCTTCCCTCTCAAGGCCTTGTTCTGTGCCACGCTGAGATCATCTCTCGGCCCGGACGACCTGCTTATACCGCCTCGTCATGCTCTGGAAATACAAATAAAGTTGAATGGGTTTGAACAACGTGGAACTCAAAAGACAAAACGCGTTCCTTTAAGATTTTGTAAAAGTTTCTGCATATTCTTAGATGGTCGCAATAACACAGCCCAGTAAGTACTGGCACATACTGGGTACTTATAGTTACATTTTGATACTTACCATGTACTTATGCATGTGCTATGTACCCAGTATGTACCTTGTAAGTACCTGGTAAATACTGGGTATGTAGCAGATCTATGCCAGGAACATTTACACAACCATATATAAGTACACTATAAGTACCTGGTGCATACCATGCAAGTACTCTGTGGATAACCTGTAAGTATTTGGTATGTACCATGTAAGTACAGATGTAAGTACTTGGTGCATACCAAGTAAATGCACCATGCGAGTACCCGGTGCACACTATGTAAGTACAGACAAATACCATGTAAGGACCTGGTACACACCATGAAAGTCCACTTTGTAAGTACCCAATACATACCATGTAAGTACCAGGTACACACAATGAAAGTACCCGATACATACTATGCAAGTACACTTTATGAAAGTACACTATTTAAGTACCCAATACATACAAGTACCAGGTGCACACAATGAAAGCTTACGATGTAAGTACCTGACATACACTATGAAAGTACACCATATAAGTACCCAATACTTGATGCATGTACATACTGGGAAATTGCCAAGCAGATACACGGTTTGTACCAGAAACCGGTTACATACCCAATAATAAATATCCAGTACGTACCAGACAAATACTCAGTTTGTACCAGGTTAAGTGTCGGGTAAGAACCCAAACATTTATTAGGTAAGTGTCCATTAGTTGCTGATATGTCTTAATTTTAAAACTACACTTTCTGCCACAGTAAAACCTGCATCACCTGAAAAAAATACAATAAAAACCACATGATTGTTTCCACACAGAGCATTTCCACAGCCTCGGTGTCATATTCAACACTAAACTGTAAATCCAACAAACGATGCCATAAACTTGACACTTCCTGTTAAAGAACAGAGTCATTTCCTTCTTTTACTCCCAACATGATTCTCTTTTGCCTCTCACTCATCCAACAAGCTGAAACGTTCCCAGAACTATAAAAGTCCAGTCACGCCCTGAGCTGGAAAAAACTTAAAATAACTCAAAAATTACAGTCTGGGGGAAATGTGACAGAAACTGCAAGCTTCACATTTTGATCACAGCAAGATAAGGAGCTGCCAAGGGGAGTAAACAGGTGTAACACAAAGCTTTGTACTCCTATCAGATCATGCTTTGTTAGATGATAGCTGAGAAACAATGCCCTCCACCTGTGGCTGGGAACACCTGTTGTGTTTATTTTAAAGACCAAAGCTAAGTAGGATGACTAAAACAAAAAAATAAATAAAGTTATTCAGGCTTTGATGAAAATCTTAAATATGGCTAAATGCGAGGGTATAAACACAAAACGCGAAAAGGAACTAGGACATTTTTTTAAGCGTCGAAACTTTTTGTGCAAATTCCACATCTCACAAATAAGCATGTCGATTAAACCATCGACAATTAAATATAAAATTAAAACCTTAAACGATGTTTGAGTTTGTACAGAAGCTAATCGATCGACACCCGTTTTGTTTGGTGAATCTCCTGCTAACGGAAAACTGTAGCTCGGTTGGCAAATGTTAGCATTAGCTAGCTCGGGTCGCTAATCAACGGGTGAACGAATTTACGTGTAACACCGACCGGGACCGAAAATGAAAAAGATAACGTGTTGCGTACCGATAAGACAGCCGCTCTTTAGTCACGATCCGTCCCGTTAGGGTCTCCGGGAAGCAGCCGAGCTTTTCCTCTAGTGGCGGACGGATCACACCATGTCCTCGCCGGAGTGGTTTACCGACACCAACGACGCGTGAAGCAGATTAACGTGAAGGAACCAAGGGGTTTCCCCACCGCTACGAGACGAACAGGCAACGCGCTGCAGCGCCACCCTCTGGCTCTAAAAAGAATTACACATGAAACGTACAAGTACGGAAGCCCGGATGCACATTAGGGTCTGTCATTAGTTTCAGACGTTTGTCTCATTTGTTTATTTATTTTAAACCTTAAAATAGTTATTTTACCCCCATTTGATAATTTTAAAGAAACTGACTTAAAAACATATATTGCCTCTGTTGAAAAACTTTATTTAAATGATCAGAAACTCGTAAAAACAATAACTCTTCTTAAGAAATGTAACTTCCCACTGAGCAAGGAGACGTCTAAACGTCTTTTTTAAGTCGTTTCTGCACGTCTAAATTGGGTCACTCGGAGGTGCAGACCGTGACGCCAGAAGACGTCTTTTTCCGACATCTAAAAGACGTCGAAACTAGACATATATGACATGTTAATATAGACGTCTTTTTTCAGACGTCTAAGAGACGTCGAAACTAGACGTCTATCTGACATGTTAATATAGACGTCTTTTTCCGACGTCTAAAAGACGTCTAGTTTCGACGTCTATCTGACATGTTAATATAGACGTCTTTTCCACGTCAACTAACTATATTTATTATTTTAAATAGGCTCTTATTATATTTAACTTATTTTAGTCACTTAAAAAATGCTGCTTCTATGCTATGCATATGAAAAGTACTTTAAAACTGCGACTGAAGTTGGGAAATTGTTCATTTGACCACCCATTGTGCAGCAGGAAACATGGTCCTAGAAACAGTTGGATTAGAGTTTACAAATCACTCCTTAAATTTTTAATTTATCTTCTTTATTTAACACAATTTAAAGGATTAACAGAACAGTAGCGTAACACTGGTGGCAAAAAAAAAAAAAACTTTAGAATTAACAGGGAGCTTATCAACTGGTGGCAAAACACAATGTACACAAACAAATCTATAAAAATACACAGCTCACATAGCTTTGGTCTGTACTTAACATACAAAATAAAAAAAATAACATGCCTTTATTTTCATTTTCGGATAGCTGAACTAGCAACACGAGAAATAAAAGCTATATCAAATTACAGTCCCCTCACCACAATTACCGTACGCAACTTTTTTTAAAGTGTGCTGGTCATAACATTTTGAATAAAGTTGATTTATTTCAGTAATTCCATTCAAAAAGTGATACTTGTACTCAGTCATTACACACAGACTGATATATTTCAAATATTTTAAAGTTGATGATTATAACTGACAACTACTGAATACCCTAAATTTAGTATCTCAGAAAATTAGAATATTACTTGAGATCAATTTAAATTAAATAAATAAATAAATAAATGATTTTTTTTTTATAGATGTTGCTATAGTCTGACGTTATATTGACGTACAAATGCGGTCATGGTTAGACGTCCAAAAGTGGACCTTGTTTGCACGTCGGGGGGACGTCCAGGATTGGACCCAATATAGACGTAATCTGGACGTCCAGTAGACGTCTAATGTTTAGTGGGTTATATTTTTACTTTTCTTTTTATTTTTGTTTTAACAGACCCTTTACTATACAAATCTGAATGTATTTTTGCGCATTTGTTAAGAAAATGGCAGTGTTTGCATGAGCTAAAGGTTACACATAATTTTATGTTTCTCATTTATGTATAAATTTATTTCACTTTTTTTTACTTTATTTATTTTACTTTGTAAATTGCAAGACATTTACACCAATATTACCAATGTCTGTGGTTATTATTTATACTATTTTTTCTTTAATGTAATCTGAAGTTACTTTATAGTATTGAGGATCTTTATATGTAATGTTATTTGTTCGAAATAAAGTACATTTTGAATTTTTCTTTTATTAACAGCTACAGACATTTAAAAGTAAAAAAAAAAAAAATAGAAGAATAAGTCTGAAACTGAAATTAACAAAATATTCCTATTCCCTTTAGACTGTATGATGGAAACATACAATGGTCACAACACATAGCACTTTATTATTTATTATTATTATTACTTTCTTTCTTTATGTGGTTCTTTTGCTAACAAACAAACAAAAAGTTTAAAACAAAATTCTTTCACAGTGAGTAGCTTATAGCATATACGGTGAGAATGACTCTCAGCTACTACCACACCACATTTTAGCTCAGTAGCTGTGAATTATAGCCATTTCTGTGCTTTTTTTCTGTGGCGGCCATCTTCAAAATGAGGCTGGCTCCAAAAGTTAAACAAAACTTAGATTCAATTATTATTAACTGAATGTTTCAGTAAAACCAGGTAAGATAGTTTGCTGACAGACAATGTTTTCAATAGTTCATGGCAAAAACAAAAAGATAAATCTTGTGCAGTCTGTTAGAAATTAAAAAAAAAAAGTATTTATTTCTTCTACTCATTAGGTCACTATGGACATTACTATGGATTAGCTCCAAAGGTTAAAGAGTTTTAGATGTACAGTACATTTCATGGATACATTCAGCAAGTTTGATTAGAATCCATTAAGTGGCTCAGGAGGTATTTTGCTAACAGACACTAGAACGTTTACCCAAACAACTTTGTGGTGCCAATCAGAGACCAAGGGGTTAAAAAAACGCTTTAATGTGTATTTTCTAGTGTTTTCATTGTTTCCAGCAGGGGTCAGCAGCACATCAGACACCCCATTATACACGTTTTAGTGAAGTAAAATGTATTTTTGTTTACCATCAGTTCAGTATTAAACAGAGGGATTCTGCTGGGGGTTTAATATTTAAACACTTATTTTAATTAAATTAAAAAAAAAATGTATGAAACGCGTCGAGAAACAAAAAAAAAGAGCGCGTGCATCGATGAAAATACGCTGAAGTGAGGGGTGTGCATGCGCGCGCGTGTCGGAGAGGGTGGGGGGGGGGGGGACAGTGACTGCAGCAGCAGCAGAACAGTTCGGTGTTCTGCAGAGAACACAGGGACTCTCCGGGTTCTGGGAGGCCGGGACAAGGACACTGACAGGTGAGTGGATCCGAACCGGTTCTTTCACCTGATCTCCAGTCGGAGAGAAATCCAGACGCGAAGGTGACTTTTCTAGGACAGGTGCGCAAAGGTGCGCGGATATTCAGGAAAGTTACATTTAATTCTGTTACATTATCGCTCCGTGTTCCGGTTCGGACGGTCCTGACAAGTTAAGTCAAAGAACAGGAGCTGAACAAACTAACCCATTAAGTTTTAAGGCTTTTTGTTTAAGAAACTGTCCAATTTATTTAATTAAATTCATGTAAATATTAGTTTAAACAACATATTTATTATTTGTTGACAAAATATCAATATCTCACCATATCGCGTATGGTGAGATATTGTATAGTATGTATGCTGTGCAATGTTCTTCTTTAAAATATAAAGCAGATTAGTAGAAAACTAAATAAACATTCTTTATTATTAAATGTAATTTATTATTTAATTTGTGTTTTTTTTATTTTTATAAAGCAATCAGTGACTTTACATGATGTAATGAAAAGATATTTTTATAAATGTTCCCATGATTTTAACAACTATATGTTTACGGAATGCATATCGCCCGCCGCCTTGCATACCACAAATTAAGCCTAAATAAATCTGCTGAGAAACGTTGAGGTTATTTGAAGTCATTTTGGTTAAACTGTCATGAAATATCGGAGTATGTGTTGTGGATGACTCTCAGCTACTTCCACACCAAATTTCACTTGATTATTTGTAAAACTGGCAGATCTATAGCCATTTTTTTGTGTTTCCTAATGTCAGTGGGCCATGGCGTCCATTTTGAATTGTGTTGTCACTGGTCAGACCAATTTTTACTTTCTGAGATTTTTATTTAAAACCCGTCCAATAACGAACACAAGGATCATGTGAGCTTAATTTAAGTGTAGGATTAAAACCGTATGATAGAATCCAAAAGGTGAAAGCCAAAACATTTTATAAGAAGCACAGTAACGTGAGAATATTTATTGAATTTACAAAAGCGCATCATCAATTTGTTGTCTAGTTTAAGTAAATACACGTCATAATGAATCTGATTGTGCTCTGCTTTGATTTGGAGGGGGCTGTGGGACGATGGGGGTGGTGAATAAAGTGGCGTAAGGTCATATTCATAACTTTGAAATGATTTCAGCTGAAGCTCTCAAAGACATTTGCACCGGAGATAATGGGAGTAATAAAAATCACATTTTCTGCCTCAGTCGGCTATGACATCATTGACTTTTATGATTAATCTAAGTGGGAAAATGGAAATAAAATCTAGAGCAAATGCAGCGTAAATGACTGAATGACTCTGCTGTGTTAAAATGCTGACATGAGCAAAGCACTCGCTAAAAGCCAAAAGCTCAAATACGCGAATGCTAGCTAAAAGTTGCAAAGCTAACTTTATTTTTTTGGCTACTTCCTTATTCAGGGATCACCGCAGCAAGCAAATCTGCATGAAAGCTTTTATAAAAGTTTTTACGCCGGATGCACTTCTTGAGGCACCGAGCTATACCGTTAAAAACGAAGCAACCAAAGGCTTCCCAACCCTGGTCCTTGGGGAACTCCATCCTGCACGTTTTAGACATTTCCCTGCTTTGACACACCTGATTTGAATGGATGGGTGACTAGTAGGCTTCTGCAAATTTAAAGAAGTAATAAATCACTGAATCAGGATGGTGTTCCTCAAGGATCAGAGTTGGGAACCCCTGCGCAAACTAAAACGTAAAGGTTGAAAAAAAAAACATTGAGATTTGAGTAAAAATTGCAAAAGGCTTGCCAAAGATTACAGCTCGCAGAGGCTAAACCAAAAGCTAAAAAGTTGCAAGCTTAACATTAAAAATGTCAAAATTCAATTTAGAATATAAAAGTAGCAAAAGGCTAGCTAAAAGCTAAAAATAGCATAAAAGCACAACAAAACAACCTCTCAGTGTATTTCTACGGGAAAATATTTGTACGTAAAGCTAAATATTTTGAAAACTACCAATGTTTTAATTTATAAAGGGCTAAAATAACACAAAAAAAAAAGCATCCATACAGTGTGAA